CTCCAGCTGCTTTTCAGATCAGTAAAGAGAGCACTCAACCTGGTGTGTTGACTGCTTCTCAAAACATGGCTCAACCTGGTGCGTTGAATGCGGTTCAAAGAAGGGACCCTAAGCCGACTTGCTCTTACTGTGGCTACACAGGACACACTTCGGATAAGTGTTATAAGTTACATGGCTACCCTATTGGCTGGAAGAAAGGGAAGTCATTCTCTGAGAAATCTCAGCAACAAGGTCAATCCTCTAAGATGAACTCTGCAGTCACTGCTCAGGTTTCAGGTAACAGTCAATCTGCTCCTGCTGGTTTGGAAGACCTCATTGGAAATCTAAGTAAGGATCAGGTTCAAAATTTCATTGCCTTATTTAGCTCTCAGTTGCAGCCTGCTAGTCAAGTTCAGAACACAGCTTCAGTTTCACACAGTTCTCCAAATGACCCATCTGGTATAACATTTTCCTCTTCCACTTTCAGCTTCATTAGTATTCTCACTGTATCTAAAAATGCCATGACTCTTAAAACATGGATTGTGGATTCTGGTGCTACACACCATGTATGTCATGTTAGAGAGATGTTTATTGAGCTTAACACTTCAGCTCAACATCATGTGAACCTTCCCAATGGTACTACAATAAAAGTTGGAGGTGTTGGGAGCATTGCTATTAATGGAGACATTGTGTTGAGAAATGTTCTGTATATTCCTGAATTCCGATTGAATCTGCTTAGTGTGAGTGCTTTAACTACAGATATTGGTGCTAGAGTAATGTTTGATTCAAGCTGTTGTGTGATACAGGATCTCACCAAGGGATCAATGATTGGAGAAGGTAGAAGAATTGGAAATCTATATGTCCTGGATGTTGAAGACTCAGTGGATGAAGATTTAGTTTCTACCTCTTTTGTTGCTAATTCTGTAATTGATGCATCTGTTTGGCATCAAAGGCTTGGCCACACTTCTTTTGAACGCATAGATTTGCTCACAGATGTACTTGGGATTTCTAAACACAAGAATAAAGGATTGTTGCATTGTGATATTTGTCAGCGTGCTAAACAGAAGAAATTACCTTATCCTACTCGTCAAAATATAAGTTCTGCTCCATTTGATTTGCTTCACATAGACACTTGGGGACCTTTTACAGAATCAACACAAGAGGGATATAGGTATTTCTTAACGATTGTGGATGACCATACAAGAGTCACATGGGTGTATCTCCTCAAACTCAAGAGCGATGTTCTCAAAGTTTTCCCAGATTTCCTTACAATGGTGGAAACTCAATATGGGATTAGAGTAAAGTCAGTTCGATCCGACAACGCACCAGAGCTCAAGTTTGAAGAATTGTACAAAAGAAAAGGGATTGTTCCTTACCACTCATGTCCTGAGACACCGGAACAAAATTCGGTGGTGGAGAGAAAGCACCAACACATTTTAAATGTGGCCAGAGCCCTCCTCTTCCAATCTCAGGTTCCTCTCTCTTTCTGGGGAGATTGCATTCTCACTGCAGTCTTTCTCATTAATAGAACACCTACTCCTGTCCTCTTGAACAAGACTCCATTTGAGGTGCTGACAAAGAAGGCTCCTGAATACACTCATTTGAAGACTTTTGGTTGCTTGTGCTATGCTAGCACTTCTCCAAAACAGCGCCATAAGTTTCAAGATAGAGCACGGGCCTGCGTCTTTCTTGGATATCCTTCTGGATATAAAGGATATAAGCTCCTTGATTTGGAGAGCAATGCCATATTTATTTCCAGAAATGTTGTTTTCTATGAGGATTTGTTCCCATTCAGAAAAGAGAAGGAAGAAAACAATGAGTTGTCAGATTTCTTTCCTCACGTTTACACTGATAAGGGAAGCACTTCCTCACCTGTTGAAACCCCGAGTCCAGAAATCAAGACAAGTCAACATCAACGAGTGTCAAGACCACCTTCTTACCTCAATGATTACCATTGTTATTCTGTTGAATCATCCACAGACCATCCCATTTCAAAGGTCCTCTCTTATTCCTCCCTATCTGATCCTTATATGATTTTCATTAATGCTGTGAATAATATCCCAGAGCCTCACACTTTTGCTCAAGCACAACTGATTAAAGAATGGTGTGATGCAATGGGTATTGAGATCACAGCACTTGAGGATAATGAGACTTGGATTGTTTGCTCTCTTCCACCCGACAAAAAGGCCATTGGATGCAAATGGGTCTATAAGATCAAATTAAACGCTGATGGTACATTGGAGCGATACAAGGCAAGGTTAGTTGCTAAAGGATACACTCAGAAGGAAGGACTTGATTACATTGAAACATTCTCACCTGTTGCCAAGCTTACAACAGTCAAAATGCTTCTTGCTGTCTCTGCTGCAAAAGGATGGTCTCTCACACAATTGGACATATCCAATGCCTTCTTAAATGGTGACTTGGAGGAGGAAATATATATGCAATTACCACCTGGATACTCACCAAAAGAGGGGGACAGTTTCCCTAAGAATGCTGTCTGCAAATTGAAAAAGTCTCTTTATGGGCTGAAGCAAGCCTCTCGTCAGTGGTACTTGAAGTTTTCAGATTCTTTAAGACAGTTGGGATTCACTCAATCTTCAGGTGATCACACTCTCTTTACTAAGAATTCTGGAAATTTATACATGGCAGTTTTAGTATATGTGGATGATATAATAATTGCTAGTAGCTGTGATGAAGCCACCAGACTCTTAAAGGAGGCATTACAGTGCTCTTTTAAGCTGCGAGACTTGGGGACACTCAGATACTTTCTTGGCCTAGAGATTGCCAGAAATGCTGAAGGTATCTCCCTATGTCAAAGGAAATATGTTCTTGAATTGTTGGATGAGACATGCCTACTTGGATGCAAACCAAGCTCCATTCCCATGGAACCAAATCTGAAGTTGACACAAGATGATGGTGAACTACTGGAAGATGCTGAACGTTATCGCAAGTTGGTTGGTAAATTAATGTATCTCACCTTTACAAGACCAGACATCACTTATGCAGTCCATAGGTTGTGTCAATTCTCATCATCACCTCGTGCTCCACATCTCAAAGCTGTTTACAAGGTAATTCATTACTTGAAAGGAACTGTTGGTCAAGGTCTATTTTATTCTGCGTCTGTTGACTTGAAGCTTTCTGCTTTTGCGGATTCTGATTGGGGTTCATGCCGAGACTCACGAAAATCCACTACTGGATATTGCATGTTTCTTGGAACTTCTCTAGTTTCCTGGAAATCCAAGAAGCAGAATGTGGTCTCAATGTCCTCTGCAGAAGCAGAATATCGTGCAATGTCTATGGCAGTGAGAGAAATGGTTTGGTTAAGATACATTCTCAGTGATCTTTGGATAGATGTTTCAGAAGCTTCAGTCTTGTACTGCGACAACACAGCCGCCATACACATAGCCAATAACGCAGTTTTTCATGAGAGAACCAAGCATATAGAATTGGATTGTCATCATATTCGAGAGAAGATCATTCTCGGCTTGGTCAAGACTCTTCATGTGCGCACAGAGAATCAGTTAGCGGATATACTCACAAAGCCTCTGTTTCCAGCTCAATTCAAGCATCTGCTGTCCAAGATGGAGATTATAAATATATTTGCTCCATCTTGAGGGGGACTATTAGATTATGGTTTAATCTTATGTTTTGGTTCAATTGTAATTAACCGGTTTGTTCCGGATTAGATACTAGGTCAAGAATAGAAAGTGTATATAAACTTGTAAACACTATTCTTAGACCGCAACGGAAGCATTTCTTTACTTTCGGCTCTCTCTTCTTCATCTCTCAGATCTTAGACTTAGAGAGCTTAAAGCTTGTTTTCTGTTCTTCTTTTCTTCTATTAGGAGTCTTCATAGAAGGAATCACAGAACTGAAGGATCCACTTTGGGATAAAGATTCTGATCGTTGGACTATCTTCATCTCCTGTAGGCAGGTTGAGAATCTCATGTTTCTCTAAAGAGTACTTGTTCGTTAGTCAAAGAGGATGATGGCTTGCATGGGTTTTTATAATCATCTCTACTGAAATGTTTGTTTTTCTTGTTGCAGTTGAGTTATCATGACCTTTTGTCTTTATTGGTGACAGTTTTTTTTATATGTTCATAGTCTCGGCTTTGTCTCTGGTTGCTTCGTGTTGCACGTTTTTGACATTCATGGAGTCTCTGTTTTGAACTTGTGCAAGTCTCATCCTCTTCTACTGTCTTTTATCTACTTCGCAATATCTCTGATTTCCCATTTTGATCTAGATTTTGGAAGGATACAAATAGAAAACTATGACATAATTCATTTCCTAATTAGGCTTTTAGATATTTGCAGAAATTTCGAATTTGTTTTTAAGTATATTTTGAAAACAAACCTTTGTTGAGTTGAGTATTTTTACAACGAATGCCATTTACTTTAAAGACATAATTCATAAGCAATCAAAGACATAAATCTTTCTATAACAAATCGGGTCGATATGTGCCCGAAAATATTTAAGCGGATTTTCATTAATATAAGATTTTTGTGGGAGTTGTTTTATGGAAAGATTTTCGTCATAAGGTTAACAAGTATATTTTCATGTTAAGGTTTACAAATATGACTAATTGTATCCGGTTTAATTTGTTTCTTGAATTTAACTATTTATTTTTACCAATATAGTAAATTTAAAATTATTAAAATGTTTTAAATATTATTATTGAAACTTAAAATTTTTTTAAATTAAATATTAAATATATAAAAAGTGTTAATTTCTTGCAATGCTAATGTAAAAGCGGATCATCTGGCACGAAAAATTCGTACAGAACCGCTTCATATCACATTTAACAACAACATTCAACATGAATGACTCTTTTGAGCTCTAATTAATTTGAGATGACAAAAAAAAAACAAATATATAAAAGTTTAAATTAAGACGGGACCTGTTATTCTGAAGCGTTGGAGAACGCCGGCTTGTTGAACAAAACGCAAACGCTCGTAAAACCTCTTTTCAGTGCAGAGCAAAGTTTTTAATTTTGGGTTCTCTTTATTTTTTCCTATCCGCCATGAAAAGAGAGAGAGAGCGAAGCTTGAAAATGACAGAGTCGAAACCAGCGATGCAATCGTAGAAACAACACCGGCGTCGTCAAAAAGACAGATGAAGAAGATTTCAGATGACCGGAGCAAAATCTCAGATCTTCTGCCGATTGATCTCAAAATGGAGATACTCAAACGGTTACCGGTAAAAACCCTAGGGAGGTTCCTTTGCCTATCGAAAGAATATGCATCTATCATCCGCCGCAGAGATTTCATGAAATTGTACTTGACAGAGTCCACGAATAGTCCGCAAAGACTCATCTTCACTTTCGAGAACAAGACTCACTGGAAGCACTTCTTCTTCTCAGCGAGTCCATGGGAGCAAGAGGAGGAGGATGAAATGTCACCCCAAAATGAAGATGAATCATCATCATCAGCCTGTGTAGCAACTTACCATATGAAATGTCATTCTCAACCATACACAACTATTGCTCCTTCTGTTCACGGTTTGATTTGCTATGGACATCCGTCTAAACTCATGGTGTACAACCCTAGCACTAGACGATCCATTACTCTTCCCAAGATTGATTCTCAAAGGATTAATATGTACCACTTCCTAGGTTATGATCCCATCCATGGTGATTACAAAGTTTTGTGTATGACAGTTGGAATGCATGTTTATAAAGGACGTGGTATGGCTCAAGAGCTTCGTGTTTTGACTTTGGGAAATGGGAATTCTTGGAGGTTGATTGAAGATTTTCCTCCTCATTTTCTTGATTATCATTATTCTCCTGATATATGTATCAATGGTGTTTTGTATTATGGAGCTCTGCTCGACATAAAGCGACCAGCAGTCATGAGTTTTGATGTTAAATCTGAAAAATTTCATCATATTAAAGGACCAGACTGTGACTTGCGTCCAAAGCTGAAAAGCTTCAACGGAAAGCTTGTAGCCCTGTTCTCTACTAATGGTGGATTTGAGTTGTGGGCTCTAGAGGATGCTGCGAAACATGAATGGGCAAAGAAGTTATTTGTTTCGGATATAGATTGCTGGAGAAATGGTTGTATGTTTCAAGTCTTTTGTCTCACTGATGAATGTGAGTTTATTTTCGCACCAAAAGAACTCGGTAAACCACCATTTTCCCTTCTCTATTATGATCCGCAGGAAAATATTGAGGGAACAGTCCACATACAAGGCATCACAGAACTGAAGCTTCCACTTTGGGATAACGATTCAGATCGTCGTTTAATCTCTATCTTTTCTGGTCAAGTTGAGAACCTCATGTGTCTCTAACGAGTGTTCGCTCATTAGTCTAGAGGACAATGACCTTATGGGTTTCATGATCATCTCCACTTTAAATGTTTTGTTCTCTGGTTGTAGTCGAGTTTTATCTAGTTTACTTTCATGATCTTTTTGTCTTTATTGGTGACAGTTTCTCTGTTTTGAACTTATGCGTTACCCTCTTCATCTTTTATAATTATAGAGGTCTACTACCTTATGTTACATCTGGATTGATATATATATGTTTATATTTGGTTACATGTGGATTCTCGAACCCTCAGATTTCCAAATTGTGGACAAAGTACAATATGACATTAATTTTTGAGAGCTTGATCTGCTGAGTTCCAAATGTTACTGCAGAACTGAAAAGGTATGTTTCTTGGAATCAGAAAATGGTTATCAAAGGAAACTTTTCTGGGACACTGATTTTTAGCGGTCAAGAAGTTGGATTTGGCGTCGTTTACTCCCTATCTCTCTTGCCTAATCCGTTCAGGTTCTGCTAGCTGTGATTTTTTGGAACAATGATTGGGACTAATTTGGGCTCTTTGATAGATATCTCAGGTTCAAATGGCCCTAGAGTCATTGGAATTTCCTATATGGCTACGGTTTCTCAAATTTCCTATATGGCTACGGTTTCTCAAATTTCCTATATGGCTAGTGTTTCTAGACATCATTGAAAACGATTTATACTCTGTTATCCTAATATCACTATGAAGCACTATGAAGTATTCATTAGACCTCAAAGAAGGTGACAATATCAAACTATATTGGGATTACTTGAATTACAAATTCATTATTCTCAATTTCGAATACAACTTAATCCGCTAATTAAAGGGTGATGTGTGATATGGAGCGTATATGTTCGCTTATCCACTTTTCTATTATAAGTATGCTCTGTTTTCAATTTTACACTAGGATCGGACCCGCGGTCCACCGCGGGAGAATATTGGTTTACATACGTTGCGTTTAATATTGTGTGTGTTTTTTAGTAGAACGAATCGTGTAGTATACTTATAAATATTCATAATAACGAATTGTAGAGAAAATGTAAAATTGTTTATAAATATACCCATCGTATTAATTATGATTTACAAAATAGAATTTTGTGTTTTAAAATTCTAAAATTAGACGATTCATGAGAATTAGAGCAGTCAAAATAGGTCAAAAACCGCAGGTCGAGCCCACATCATCTCACTATGGGGCAGATTTGGGAAAATATATTAAACCCGCAAATAAGCGGGCCACATGGATTAATTCGCAGTGGGTCATAGGTTTAATCGGTTTTCATCGTCCGCGGGTTGGCGGATCAGCCCGCATATTAGTAATTATTGATAAAATTATAATTTATTCAACATGTGGTAATTTGAACAAACTTTTAATAGTATTTTGATTTATTTATTTATTTTAGTAGTATTTTAAATTTTGGTTACTTTAAAATTATTTAAACAAAATCCATGGACAATCCCGCAAATCCGCATACATTCGCGGGACGGGTTTGTATTTCATATATGCTACCCGCGGGTCGTGCGGACCGACTAACTACAAGTCAAAATATTTTTTGTCTATCGCAAAACGGACTTAACGGGACGAATCAACTCGCTTTGACAGTTCTAATGGGAATATTATTTAGTCATACAACAAAATGAAGTTTGGACATAGTAATAATAAAATATGTATCTTATTTGTTAGATGAGAGATTGAAAGATGAAGTATAATGATTAAAAATTAATTATTATTTTTCATGATTCACAAAATTTAATAAATACTTATCATCTTGTTGAATAATTCTAAAATCATATTCAAGAAATCTTTATAAATTGAAAATTAAACTTCTTTGGTAAGCTATAGGTATGAAAATATCATAATTTCGATTTAATCTAATTAAATTAAAATTAGTTACATGAATTTCATATCTATTTAATTTACACGACCAAAATAAAAATATCTATTTAATTTACACGACCAAAATAAAAATATCAATTTAATTTATAAAACAGATGGGTTATTTGTGATAAATTTTCTAGAAATCTTTAGAAGCAAATAAAATATCTTTCAATTAATGATAATTGGCTAAAATGAGCGAAATTAATGACAAAAACGTTGATTGTTATGGAATTAGTCCCAAAAATATATGAACAAATTTATTATACGTAATTAATGTATAATATTGTTTGGAATATGCTTTTATTATTAGTTACCATAAGTACAATCAGATTTTATTTGATTTCCATAAATATTTGATTTTATTTCAATTTTTCATTATTAATTCGAATTTATATTCCAAAAAAATTTCAAAGATCCGATTTCAGAATTTCGGGTCAATTTTCTGATTTTAACCCGACCCATTTTCATTTGTACTTCTCTTTTAATAGTATAGAGATTCTATCTAGTATCTACATAATAACTTAGATGTAATCATTTGCAAATATTTCGGAAAAAAATTGAATATATATGTTAAGATTTGAGATCGAATGAGAGATATGATCCATAGCTAAATTATTTGTTTTTTTTTCCAAAAGAATGTTGGTATGTTGCCGTGAACAATGCACCAATCCTTTGTTGAATCCGGTCCCGGCGGGGATCACCCCCCTAAAACAACATTTTCTTTCAGGCCTTTCAACCAATCGATACGACCCCGAAGAGCGGCTTTTGCTAAAACTCGAGCAGTTTCTTGAAAACTTGTATATATGAAAAAGTAAGAATGATTGGTGTATGAATTTCGTTCTGATTTTTATATTGATTCTGTAACTCCGCCTAGATGGCTAAATCAACTTTTATGTAATGATCTAATATATTACTTTTGACGGAAAGAAAAAAGATTGGTGTATGAATTACTCAACAATCCTGCTTCGAGTATTATCTAAACTTTAATCGTTAAACTAATCAGATCTATTTAACTTTCACATTTTTTCCAAGATAATAATAATTAGTTTATATTGCCTCTAACATTTCTCAAATGATGTTTCATTTATTAATGATTTCTTACAAGTTTGATAATATTGTGCTTTTGAATTTATGAGACCAAGCATCTCTTAGCAACTGTGACTTTGAGGCCATGTTTCATGTGAAGGACTATGGAAGAAGCTGGCTCGATCTTGTGCCCTTCAACGACCTTGATGTCATAATTTCGTATAATCTCAATAGCCACTGTCTTCATCTGCAAGAAAGATAAACTTTTCCCCAAGCAATTTCTTGGACCAGAATTAAACACGAAGAACTTGAAAGATGGTTCATGCTTTAAGCCTCCATTTCTCTCAGAAATCCATCTCTCTGGTTTGAATTCACATGCGTCTTCTCCCCACACAGCCTTCATCCTCCCCAATGCATAGACAGAGAACAAAATCTTCCAATTTGCATCGACTTTGTGTCCACTTGGAAGCACATCTTGTTTTATGGGAGTCTTTCGCTCGAATGGGATTGGAGCGTAGAGGCGTAGTGATTCACACAATGCACCATGTAAATACACCATCTTGTTTAACATGTCTGCATCTAAACTCATTCCGGATCCTGGTAGATTTGTGTTGATCTCTTGGCGGATCTTGGTCACAGCTTCAGGGTTCTTGGAGAGAAGCCAACAGAACCAAGTGAGAGTTGTTGCAATGGCGTCTCTTCCGGCGAGCATGAAACTCTTGATGATGTCTTTGAGGAAGTTATCATCTTCTGGGTTCAAAAGCTCATACTTGGAAGTATCTAGATTCATGTAGACGCTTAATAAATCCTCTTCACGAGCTTTTCCCCCAATATTAGAATGATGACTTATTATCTCCTCTCTCTTTGCAGATATATACTTTGCACAAGATCTGTCGAAAGCAGCATTAGCTTTTGTCATCTTCTTCTCTTGTCCGAGTCCAAACCAGTTTTGCAACTTCCACAAGATCAGAGGCTTAACATGTCTATACACAACCACTTCTTCAGCATCATCCATAGCTTTCGCATACTCATTCTTCGGCATTTCTATGGAAAGAGAACTCGAGTCATAACCCGTAACAAGAGTAAGGGTTACATCGAATGCTAATCTTTGGAACACGTCTTGTAAATCGAAAACCGTATTCGCCTCTGAAAAATGATCAAGAACCGGGACAAGCCCATTCTTGATTTTACGCGTGATGGTCCTCAATGAGAAGCTTTGAAACCCTTGATGGCTAAGCACAACCAGTGCGGATTTCCTCATATCCTCCCAGAGTTTGGAGTCAGCAGTGAAGATCCCATTTCCTAGAAAATCGAACATCTCTTTGAACTCCGGTCCTTTATCATAATTGGAGAAGTTGGAGCAGAAAACGTGTTGAATATTTGCAGGATCTGCAGTGATCAACATGTTCATTCCAGTGAACCATGGGCCTTTGAAGGCAAAAGTCAAGTTGGAGACCTCGAGAATCTCTGCGACGTAGTCATTAATCATGTGAAGCATGAAGAGCACACCAGGAAGCATCCCAAGAACTGGCCAGTTTCTAGGTAAGATATGATGGGCTTTCTTGTGGATCAAGAAATGGAAGAAGATAAAGACAAGAAAAGCTATAAAGACTTCAAGTAAGCCTACGTAAGCCATTAGTAGAAAAGGTTTTTAATTTGTTTCTTGGAAATTACGAAAGATAGAGAGATGAGAAACTTTGTTTTGGTTCTTTGTTATATTTATAGTTATTAGAAATTAGAAATTTAGTACCACTTTTTAAATGAGATTGGCTCAGTGTCAGTGATGTAGCTGGCGACATAACTAACTCCAATCTTGTCATCATGGTGTTCTTACCTCGTCCACGTTCAGAACTTCGGATCTGTCAAATGTCCATGGCATGGAGGCGTTATGGGTAAGGTCATGTTAGATATGATGGGGTCTGGGGTCACATGAACGAGTTAAACGTCAAAGTGGGGATCACAATCTACTACTAATTATTTTAGTCAAAAAAAATCTACGACACTAAAATAAACCACTAGACTACATATCTTTATCTTTTTTTTTTTTGTTTTACTTTCCAAAATTTTGCTCTTTTTTTGTCCTTAACCTATTTGACTAGTTTTGCTCGTTTATAATAGTAGATCATGACAACCCAATTTGTTAACCTAAATAAAAGCCATTAACTTTAAGATAGTTCTTTTGAAACTTCTATTAGTTATCATCTTATATTATTTTGAAATTATATAATCAAAGATTTTATAAATCCTCTTATAATATATATAGTTACGATTTTAATTATGTGTAATATGTCAAAACAATGTAGATTACAATTTACAAATAAATTTAGATTTTTATGAATACGCAAAAATTTATATTTTAGTTTACCATGTAACAATATAATTTCTTAGTATATAAATAAACTTCTGATTAACTTATACCTCCCATGCAGTAGCACATATCATGGTCTAGTATAGTATATAAATTTTATGAATTTACCAATTATTTCCTTTTATATAAGTTCTTCTCCCCTCACCCTATTTTTGTTCTCACTTGAATATTAATAAAGAAACAGTGTCATAGAGGACGTCGTCAATTGGTTGATTCTTGTCCTGATCTAATGAGTTGACCCCTGAAAATTTTATGGTCAAGGACATGCTTTTGCCACTTCTCATTGACTCGTATATGATTTGACGTTACTCAATTTTTAACAATTCGATTTTTGAGAACTCAAATAGTGAATCCAATGACTCATGAATGACGTTAGTTTATCAAAAAAATTTAGTGATAATTCTTTAGAATATTGAAAACAAAATATGCTGTCAAATTTTCTATTTGTAATATAAGGATGCACACTCATCATGCAATCAGCCAATCACAATTTTCAAAAATTCAGTCAAACCGATCTGTCTAGAACTTTACTTATGAATAATATGACAGTTGCTATCATGTAGTTTCAATTCCACAGTATTAATAATTTCTGAATAAAGACTCTCCCAATATTTTCTATACAAATAAATTTGAACTTGTCGAATAATCACGTGTATGTAATTATAGTTAAAATATATGGCATCGATTTCAAGTAAATTCGAGTTTACCTCACAATATAAACAATCACAAAGAGTCTACAGTTAAATTTTCTGTTTTGGTCTTGTCAACCATATTAACCGAGTTATTTCTTTGGTGAATGAGTCAACATGACTAAGTCAGACATGGGACACCGACTACATGTATATAAAAATGGATAACCATTGGCCATATGTCTAAATTATGGTCTTTGCCTTTTATCATTATAATAAGTGCTTAAATTTATAATTTGCATGTACTTACCTATTTTAACAATTTAATATATATTGATCACCCTAACGTTGTTACTTGTTAGTTAAAATGTTAATAGTTCTTGTATTAGTTGTCACGTTAGAATTAACTTATACAAGCCAGCACCCACGTTATAATTGAGAGCTTTTTTTCCCTCTAATTTTATGTTGGTAATTTCATCTCGACAAGGCTAGTAGCAGCTAGCTCATGATATAGGCATGCGTTGTGACAGCAGAGGACCCCGAGTCCAATATATAAAAACATGTACATTATCTTAGTCAAAAAAACAAAATCGTAGTTAAAAAAGTATGTGTATTTTTTTTTGTCGTCAAAAAGTATGTGTATTTAAAATAGCTATTCTGGTGTTAATTATCGCACTTCAACAAAAAAATTTATGCAACCTTATGAGACGTGACAATATTATAGTACTTTAAAAGGGTGTGACTGGTTAATAATACTCGTAGGAGAAGAAAAAAAGAGGAACACAAATTCTTCTTTATATATATATGTACTAGCCTAAAATGAATTAGCAAAAAATAATTAAAATAGAATAATTCTTCTATTTTCAAAACAAGTAGAAATTGATTTTTTTTTAATGTGGCATTTTTTTCTTTTAGTTTTTCTTTCTAGTTACTCTACTTTTATTAACCAGTCATACGCGAAACTATCCTTGTATAATATTTCTGATAAATTTTGTTTGAAAGCCCTTTATATATAAAAAAAGACAATATTATAGAATATTTGATAGAGAGCGGAAGCTAAATAACGGACGAGAACTAAAAAATATTGATTTTAATGACTGTTGTAGTACTATTATTATATCATTAAAAATATTTGAGTACAATATCATAAAACTTAACCTTATTTTCAACTAGAAAAATCAACAGTTACAAAATTATTCTAAAAACTCTATTTTGTGGTAGGAGGAGCTGCGCCGGTAACTTTTAAACATTGTTCCTTTAGCATAGGTGGAAAGAGGGGGATGAATGGAATTTTTGGTATACAATTGGTTTCAGCTTCCAAAAATGCTTTGCAACAAGCAGGACCAATATTACCAAACTTTCCAATGAATATCGATTGAGAAATTTCCGCAATACATCCAGGAATATCCATCACCGATGACCAACATTTAGTTATATCAGGTAATCCTGACATATTAGGAATTGGTTGGAATGGAAATGGAAAAGGAAAAGGAGCCGGAAACTGTGGTAGTTGAGCATTTACGGAAACCACAATGCATATAACTGCTAAAAACAAAATCACGTTTTTGATAGCCATGATGAGAAGAAAAAAGTTATAAGTAGTTCAATATATGATTTTTTTCTCGAGTTTGGTTTTGGATGATAAACAATACTAGGAGTCTAGGATCCTTAGTTATTTTACGGGAAGAAATGAGCTGTGGTATTAATTGTCTTATGAAACGTTTTCAATTTATGTTAGGTGTTGAATCAGCAGTTACCCTTTTTCTAATTTAATTAGCAGTTCCCCTTCTAAAATTGAATTAAAGTACTCTAAAGTCTAAACCCTGCTCTATGATACGAGCAACATTAACTAGAAAATATATATTTTCAGAATTTATTGACTATTTGACTATTTAGAGGAGATGAAATATAACTCGTGGCCCTGAATCAAACGGAAATAGCTAGTTCAGAATTTAATCCAATAAAACCGGTTAATAATCCTTCCGTTTTGTTTTGATTCTTAGCGAAGCGAGGAATACATGTGATTTTTTAAGTTGAGCAAATAGCTATGCATTTTGGGGACATAAAGCCATAATGGGATTTCAAGTTTAGTTTTAAGAAAAAAAAGTTTAGTTTTAAGAGTTCCTCGCATTCTTTAAATGGAAAAATTTCATGTAGATTTCAGGTTGTGGGCTTTTTCACCATCAACTTAGTATAAACTTAAAAAACAGATTATTAAATAATATTACTAAACCATAGTTGCCCTTGATGAGTTAATTACTGTAGATTTTAGCTAGAGGTTTATGATAGATTTGGGCTTTAACATGGGCTTCCAACTCAAAACCAATTGGCAATGAGTGGATTGACCCTAACCCTTTATATATCACTTGATAATTTCTCCAACTTCCGATGTGGGACTTTCTCTCATTAACACCCCCCCTCACGCTCAGGCATCGTTGGCTCTGAAGCGTGGGCATATGTGGGAACAACATCCACGGGGTGGCCCGATTTGGGACTTCAATAACACCCTCCCTCACGCTCAGGCATGAACATCTGAAGCGTGGGCATATGTGGGAACAACATCCACAGGGTGGCCCAACGATCGGGTGGCTATGATACCATGATAGATTGCCCGAAGACATGTGAGTTCTTCTACTTTGCCGCCGCTTGACAAGCCGTTGTTTTTCTATCTTCTACAAATACTAAACCTAGCCGCCATCCTTGCCGTGTCTAAGTATTTATTGTCCAAGTTGTTAGAGTAATAGATAAATGTAAATCTTCCAAATCTTGTTATGGAAATCTCTAGTGTATATCCTCTAGAATCTTCTCTTGTAAGCCTATATATAGAGGCCTCTCTATTCATTAATACATACAATTTTACCAATCTTACATGGTATCAGAGCAATCGATCAAAACACAAAAAACCCTAATTTTTTTTTTTCTTCACGCCACCGCCGCTACAGACCTAGCGTCTCTTTTCACCGGTTCTTTCTTCAATCATCAACATGAGTGAAGAAGTTTCATCGTCAGTTGCAACGTATTCGAGAGTACCTATCTTTGACATAGATAGTGAAACCCCAACTCTCATCGCCGTGAACATGTCAAACATCACAAAGTTGACATCAATGAATTATCTCACTTGGCGTCTTCAGATCACAGCTCTCCTAGAAGGTCACGAGCTTCATGGTTTTATTAGTGAAACCGATCAAGCTCCACCCACCCACATCGTTTCAGGTACTGTGACAACACCAAACCCTAAGTTTACTTCTTGGACAAGACAAGATCGTCTTCTTTACAGTGCTATCATTGGCACTCTATCTCTTCAAGTGCAACCAATGGTTTCACGTGCGAAGACTACTCGTGAGATCTGGGCTAAGCTAGCCACGACTTATGGCAATCCATCAAGAGCACACATCAACCAAATCAAACATCAACTCAAGACCATCTCCAAAGGAAATCAATCGGTGGAAGACTACATGAAGAATGTTGTTACTAAGGCTGACAAGTTAGCGCTCCTTGGCTCACCACTCCCGCATGAAGACCTACTTGATCACATCACTACTGGCTTAGATGAGGATTATCGTCCGGTTGTGGAACTTGTCAATGGAAGAGAAACTCCAATATCTATTGAAGAGCTACACGAGAAACTTCTCAACAGAGAGAACACGCTTCGCAACCTTGCGGAGACAACATCAACGGCTGCCCCTGCGTCTGCAAACATGGCACAACACAAATACAACAACAATAACAACTCCTCTAAACAGAATCAGAACCAATACTACAACAACAACAACAACTATGGAAGAGGTAGAGGCTCTGGAAGAGGAACACAAGGACGTGGGTACCAAGGAAGATGCCAGATTTGTGGTATTCATGGTCATAGTGCACGGACTTGTCGTCAGCTTGCCTCACCACAATGGTCTCCGCCGTCGCAGTATCCGCCACCATCATCTCCAACAATGTGGAATCCACCACCACCGATGCCGCCTCCCAACTGGCAGCCGCGAGCTCATTACACCGCTTCCACTAACTATTCACAAGCACCGTGGTTACTAGATAGTGGAGCGACTCATCACATTGCTACAGATTTCAGCAATATGTCCATTGCGGGTCCATACAATGGCGGTGAAGAAGTGATTGTTGGCAACGGAGCTGGCTTGCCAATTACTAATACGGGTTCCACTACTTTCTCTACTCCAACTAAACAATTATTACTTGATAATGTCTTGTGTGTTCCGACTATCAAGAAGAACTTGATCTCGGTGAATAAACTATGTCGATCTAATGGTGTAATGGTTCAAATGTGTCCTAATGATTTTCAGGTGAAGGATCTCAACACGGGGGCAACAATAATCAAGGGCAGAGCTAATGATGGGTTGTATGAGTGGCCAACGATTCCTTCCGGATCTTCTTTTGTTTCGGCTTTTTCTACTTTTAAAACATCTTCTCCTGCTTGGCATGCTCGATTAGGGCATCCGGCAAATTATGTTATTCAACTTATTTCATCTCGTTCTAAAATACCTATGTCTTTTTCGACAATTTGCAATGCTTGTTCTATTAATAAAAGTCATAAACTACCATTTTCTCAATCATCAATTCATTCACAATTTCCCCTTGATATTGTTTTCTCGGATGTGTGGACATCTCCGGTTTACTCCATTGATGGCTATAAATACTATGTGATTTTTGTTGACCATTATACAAGGTATACATGGCTTTATCCATTAAAACAAAAATCTCATGTTGCCACAATTTTTCCGGTTTTCAGGGCATTGGTGGAGAATCGGTTCAAGACAAAGCTTACAACGCTATATTCGGACAATGGAGGTGAATATATTGGCTTAAGGCCCTATCTTGCAAGTCATGGCATTTCACATCTCACATCACCACCTCACACACCCGAACATAATGGCATTGCGGAGAGAAAACATCGTCACATTGTTGAGACGGGATTGTCACTAATGTCACACGCTAAAATACCAATAGAGTATTGGTCTTACTCACTAGCCGCAGCGGTCTTTCTCATCAACAGAATGCCTACACCGATTCTCTCCAATGTCTCTCCATATGAGGTTCTTTTTCAGTCCACACCAAACTATACAAGGCTTCGTGTGTTTGGTTGTCTTTGCTATCCATGGCTTCGTCCTTATTCACAAAACAAGCTCTCACCTCGTTCCACTCCATGTATTTTTCTTGGATATTCTCTTACACAAAGTGCCTACCTATGTTATGATTTTTCCACATCCAAAATATTTGTCTCTCGTCATGTTGAATTCCATGAAAATGAATTTCCTTTATCTTCATTTTTATCTTCCACTAACACTTCCCATGAGTCCTCTTCCTCTGTTTTTCATCCAGTTTCCGTAGCTCGGGTCTATCGTGAGCCACTCATCACCCGCTCGCCCCCCAGTTTGGATCCTTCACCAACAACAACGGAATCAGCACCGTCCGACAATGATTCTTCACCAAATGAGAATGACAATTCTGACTCCCTAGAGACGTCCAATGTCGAGAACAATGCCGTGGTCGAAAATCCTACTCCTGCCATGGTTCCAAGCAATATTCATCCAATGGTTACAAGAGCAAAGAATAATATTCAGAAACCTAACAGAAAGTTTGCAAATAATATAAAGCTTGAGGAAGTTGAACCAACGTCCCATGTTCAAGCCTTGAAAGATGAACGATGGAGACGTGCTATGGGAGAAGAGTTTGATTCTATTGTACGTAACGGTACGTTCACATTGGTAGATCCTCGTGTTGCATCAAATGTGGTAGGCAATCGATGGATTTTTGTGATCAAAAGGAAAGCCGATGGGACAATTGACCGGTTTAAGGCGAGACTTGTTGCAAAAGGTTTTCATCAACGCCCGGGAATAGATTTTCAAGAAACTTTCAGCCCTGTTATCAAACATGTTACGATACGGGTGGTACTTGGACTTGCTGCACGGAAAAATTGGGTATTACGGCAACTTGACGTCAACAATGCCTTCTTACAAGGGAAACTTACAGAAGAGGTGTATATGAGTCAACCACCGGGATTTATTGACAAAGACAAACCACATTATGTATGTCGTTTACACAAAGCGATATATGGTTTGAAGCAGGCTCCTAGAGCATGGTACAATGAGCTGCGGGATTTTCTTCTTAGCAATGGATTTGTTAATTCCTTAGCGGATGCGTCGGTGTTTGTTTTTCATATGGGAGACGTCATCATTTACATGTTAGTGTATGTTGATGATATTGTTCTTACCGGAAACAGTGCTTTGGCTATTGATCGTTTCATTCAAGTTCTCTCCAAGCGGTTCTCGTTAAAAGACATGGGTGCTCTCTCTTACTTCCTTGGTCTTGAGGTTACTCGTAGCTCTGCGGGCATTAGGCTGAACCAACGTAAGTACACCACAGATATACTCACCAAGTATCACATGATTGGAGCTAAACCGGTTCCTACACCAATGGCTTCTTCCACAACTCTCACTGTGTCTGATGGTGTTAAATTATCTGATCCGACGGAGTATCGTGCTGCGGTAGGAAGTCTTCAATATCTTGCTCTCACACGTCCTGACATTGGCTTTGCGGTCAATCGTTTATCTCAGTTTATGCATTCTCCGACTACTGTTCATTGGGATGCTGTTAAGAGAGTGCTGCGCTATCTTGCCGGGACTGTTGAACATGGTTTGTGGTTTTCGGCGAATGCTTCCTTAGAACTATCTGCCTATTCTGATGCGGATTGGGGCGGAGACAAAGATGACTACTCCTCTACGGGGGCATATATCGTTTATCTTGGTTCACATCCAATTTCTTGGTCGTCTAAGAAGCAAAAAGGAGTCTCTCGTTCGTCTACTGAGGCAGAGT